GTTTCTTGAATTATTATAGAAATATTAGAACCACCTTTTTCTTCTAATAATCATGAAAATGAACATAATGAAGATGTCACACGGGTGCTGGTTTGTCTTTGATTTTTTTTTGCTCATTTAGGGGTGTTGAGATTACTAACTTGATTTTAATATTTCATTATTCTCTAATAATAATGTAATTTATTAAATTTTATTTTTTGTTTAGCTTTGACCAAGGTTTAATTGATCAAACATCGGGACATATTCTTGTTCTTATTTTTTCTTTTTTGTAATTCACGTTTTTTTTTTGGTCTTCTCTTTTTTTTTTGCCCACAATGTTGTCATGTTCACATATTCTTTTTTTTTGGAGTTATTCATCCTTTCTATGGGTTTTCTGTAAGAAAACTTTCATTTTGACTTTAATTTTTTTTTTTCGCTCAATTCTTTCCTTTTCATGACACAAGAGAAAGCTTAATAAAATACTGTACTGTTTTTTTTCTGGTCTGATTACACAACACGTAAATTATAGAATGAATGCAAACAAAAAAAAAATAGACTTTTAATATTGATTTCTTATTGGAAAGATAATTTTTCTCATGAAAAATAAATAATTACAAAAAAAAAGAAATGTGTTCTGTTATTCTTTCTATTTCTTCAGATGTCATCAAATTCTGTTGCATTAGATGAATTATCTGAATTTCTCGATCCACAAGGACGTCTTGATATTAAATCACTAGCACTTCAGACATTACTATCATTAACTGCATCTAAAGAAGGCCGTCATTTATTGTTATCACTACCTAATACTGACCCTACTAAATCATTATTAACACGTGTTTGTCGTCTGATATTTGAAGATGTTCAAGAATCAGTTCGTTTTGACGCACTTCTTTTATTGATTAATTTAACAAGTGATAATGAATTATCAATACTTAATAATAAACAAATGTCCATTACGAATGATTTTTGGTTACAATTATTAAAAGTAGGAATTCAACAAAAAAAAAATGATTAGTTATAAATATGTGGTCGAAGCAAAAAAAGTTTAGAAACGAAGTATTTTTTGATTGTCTTCCGTAATGGTAACAGATAGAACCAATCAGAGAAAATATTTGAGTATGTGAAACAATCTTCTTTCAGAAGAGGTACTTGTCGAATTTCAATTAAGAGGTTTGGGTAGAAGGTCTCTGGAAAATCAAGACCTCTCAAAAGTGCAATTTCAATCACGGAACTTAAGTAACTTCAACAACTGAGGCAATCCGAAAAGTTCAAGAATTTGTTGAAATTTAGAGAACAGATCGGTCCTAGCGGTACAAACAAAATCGACATCTTCATGCTTTGCTTATACAAAAATTTCAAACAACTGCAATAGTGACTTGCATCCAGAAATACCACAAGATATGACAAATATACGGTACAATTTTTTTCGTGAATATTCTAATATAGGTGTGGCTATGAGTGTAGAAATAATCGGAACTCACACCTTTAGAGCTACCATTACTGAATAGTTACGTGGTTCGGCACATATCCACAAGGAACTGTGTGCAAACCTAAGTGCTACTAGCCATGGAATGACTCTAAACAAATGAGTAACGACTATTGGTCCCGAATCACTTATTCAATAGTATACCTGCTCTCATAGCTAGTATGTGTATGGGAAGCACAAGTAATTGAGCGCTAAAACTCTGCGTCATATTAAACGTTTGTCCAGAGCTACAACGAGTCATAGTTGTAAGGAAGATATTGTGCTATTGAATCTGCCGTTTGGTAGCACCTCTTGCTGCAACTTACCTGAAAGCCATAAATATTCTTCCTTTTCAAACCTTTCCTCCAGCTCTATGAATGAAGTTGTATTCTTGAGAATTCATGACTTAAGGAACCAGATCACTGCTGTCCTAAAACTCATTTTCTGAACTTTATCAAAAACATTTTGCAAACATGTTCGTCTAATAAAGAAAAAACTTTTCAACAAAATAAGAAATCTTCAGCGAACGACCATCATTGTGCAATAGACCAAAAAAGCCGTTTTCTGTTGTTTTTATAAAAATGTGTATGAATTTGTTGTATTCTACACATTGTAGCCTTTCGTAGAATGATTGCCATTCACTGAAGATAGGTCGTCGAAAGTCCGAGGACATGTCAGAAATGTTTTCTCTATTAGATGAATTTGTTTGCAAATGTTTTCAGTAAAAACTGGAACACTAGTTTTCTAGTGGCCTTATACTCAAACCTATTAATTTGAATTCAACAAGTACTTCTTCTGATAGGAGTTTGTTTCAACTACTCGAATCTTTTCTATGATTGATTCTAGCTGTTACCATTAAGAAAAACAAGTCAAAAATACTTCGTTTCAAAAGTGCTGTACCTTCATTTTATACTAACAAGAAAAATAATTTTATATTTAGCGTTGTATTGATGATCGTCAATATGAACATGCAGATGCTGGATGTAAACTTCTATCAAATATAACATCTCGTACAATAACAATTGATCAAATAAATGAATTAATAAATCATTTCGATAAAAATTATCCATTGTGGTTTGATAATCTTATTCAAGCATTTTCTACAATTGATTATAATGTTAAAAAAAATAATCTAGATTATTTATCAGCATTTCTTGTTAATTTAACACAATCAAAAATAATTCGACAACGTCTAAGAGATAATGGACATTTAAAACGTTTATTATGTTTTACAGATCAAAATCATTCAATTATACGACGCGGAAGTATTGCATGTATACTTAAAAATTGTTGTTTTGATCATGGTTTGTTTTATTAAAATTTTCTATGATTAATTCTTAACTTGTTTTTGTTTATTCTTTTTTATTAGAAAGTCATGAACAATTAATTTATCGTATGGGTGACAATGATGATTTTATATGTTCACTACTTTTACCACTAACTGGTTCAACAACTGATGAATTAACGGAAGAAGAAAATGAACAATTACCAATTGATTTACAATATTTACCAAGTGATAAACATCGTGAAACAGATCGAGATATTCAACAAATTCTTCTTGAAACAATTCTTCTTGTATGTTGAAATTGAAGAAAAAATTCTTTTTTTTTTTAATATTTATTTTTCTATACATAGTTATGTGCAACAAAATCTATTCGTGAATATTTTCGTTCAAAACAAATTTATTTTATATTACGACAATATCATCAACAAGCAAATTTAGATTTTGCTTGTAATCGTACATGTGAACGAATTATTCAAATATTAATTGGTGATGAAGATTATAATGTTGAAACAGATAATCTACTTGAATTGAATATTCCTGAACATTTAAGAGAAAAATTCCATGATATTGCTCGAAAAGAAGAAGAAGAAGAAAATCGTGTCAATCAATGAATTAAATATTTCAAATATTTTCATTTGATTAAAAGAAAACATAAATATATATTCATTGATGTCATAAAAATTCCAACTGTTTATTCAAAACAAAAAGAAACAGTCTTATGTCACCATAGAAAAAAAATAACATTCTGCCGTAAAAACTTTAGACTACTACTCAGTGTTTGTCTAATGATAAATTATTTCTAAATAATCCGGGATGATAGTTACGGCTATGAAGCTAATGCTTTTAGAATCTATATGTGTCGTAGGTCCATCTTAGATTCGTCTACGATATATACACAGTAGTTTCCAAAAGTATTCACCAAGGATTATTTGTAATTTTTTTCAGCTGTCGTAAGTGCTAAAACGAGTCTAAACAGTGACTGGAGTAGAGAATATGATTTCCAACAAGGATGTAAGGAACTAAAAATTATTATCAAAGTCACAAAGATAGGGCTCCAAAAAATTAAAATCCTCATTTCTCAATGCCTATGACACATAAATTTAATTTTGATTAGATTACATTAGAGCTCATCCGCGTTCACTCCTGAAAATTTTCTTTTGACTGGATCGGGTCCGAAAAGTGTGAGTCGGATGGACTCTAGACTATGAGGAACGATAGAGTGGACCATCCTCTAGAAAATGAGCCGTTGTCGAGTGCTCTGAAATACAGAAATTTGATTGAAGATCAAAAAATGGTATTTCGATAGGAAATTGGAAAAAAAAAGCGATATTAGTGACTTCCATTAGATTGCTGTGTCTCAGCTAAGGCGTCGTGTGAAGAACTCGGAGACATTTCATTTTGTAGAGAATTGTTTGTTTTTATTGTTCTATGTAGTCTAAACAAGATTATGTGCACTTGTTCTAGGTGTTGAAAAACTAGTCTATCAGCTGTCTGGAGTTTCTGTTGTTAGGAACCTGATAATACTTTTATTTCCTTGTTTTTCTGTTGAAAACAACTTTCTCTATTCGAATACAACTTGTCGAGTAATTTTGGTATCTACTATATATAATCGCTTACATTTAACATGTGTTCGAGTATGCGTGAGTAATGGTTTTAATAAGAACAAACGACAAATAAAGCATAATCTGATGTTTATCTTCCAATTCATTTGATAAGTCAGATACGGAAACATCATTCTTGTTTTTTTGTTTTGTTATGATCGATATTTTCGCATTGTTTCACCGGTTAATATATTGGCTTGGATACTTGTGTTGATAGTTTTGTATTCACTAGCAATCTGCTTTTTTCAGCAAGTTGAGACCCTTGTACAATAGAGTAAGATATGACAAGTATTAATCGAATCATTATTATTTGAGACAATATGGACAAACATAACCTATGAATGTCGTCATTAAAAATACTTTTAATCTATGTACTTTTCATAGCCATATTGAGAAAAGTTCTATGAACGATATTTTGAAACACCATAAAACCAACCTGGTTCATGATAAAATACGGTGTGCCAGAACAATTCTAACCTCTATCGATCTTACTTCAATATGACAGACAAAATCTTATATAATAAAAATACTACTTTGACTTCTAATCAACCAAAACGTTGTTATATGTTTATTATGAATCATACATATTTATATCCTCAGCTTTCTCTCTCGTAAATGATTATCAGACGCGCGAATCAATACATTGTATCGATCTCACTTGCACAATTAAATGTCACAAACTACTGTATCACAAGTAGTATCGCCAATGAAAGGTGATATTGTTCTAACACGTAAAGGTCATCGTCGTTTATGGGATGGTCGTCATTGGCGTGTACTTTGTCGAATATCGGATTGTACAGCTCAACGACAAGGTTCATTATATAATAAATTTGGTCTATGTAAAAAACATTTTACTCAAATGGAATTTCATAAGTTTAAATCTAATAAATCTTCATCATATGAATCATCATTTTTATCATCAAATACCAAACAGAAAGAACAAAAACAAATAGTTTCTGTAGGAAAACAAGACGAAAACAACAAAACAGATAAACGTCATAATTTAAACATTATCGTTGATAAACTTCGACGTTCACAAACAATATCGAAAACATGTTCGATGAAATGACAATTAGATTTGATATACTTTAATAAATATGAATAAAAGGTACTACTGCAGATTAGTCATACTCTCGCCCTCACTCTCACATTGGTTGTTGCGTTCAGTGTACCAATCAGTGTAAAGGTGTAACTAAACTGCAGAAGAACTGATAAGAACATATATCTTTTACTTTTGATGAATATTCTATGTGAAAATAATCGTTTTTTTTATTACAAAGTTGACGAAAATGACAAAAGATCAATGTATTCTTAGCTTTGATAAGAGTACAAAAATGAAAAAATTTCGTAAGTTTTCATTCAACAATTGCTCATGAAAGTAAATAATCCCTTCTAGAGTATAATAAAACTGTTATACAGGTTATAATCAAATCCTCTAATAAAATCTTATACATAGATTGAAAATTATTTCTCGAATGAACAGAATAAAACAGATTCTATTTCTATGGTACGTGCAAAATTATAAATCTTGAATTAATAAATCTAACAAATAGTAGTCGTTGCTAGTCTATATCATGAATCAATATTTTATCATTTACTAAGTGACTCATGTAACTAACGAACTATCAAAAAACACCAATGAATAATTACAACGTTTGAATGAATCAGCCTCGTGCAACAAATGCTGCTTTGTTCTTCTCTTTCACCTTATTTGATTCTTTCACAATCACATTGAAATGAATGTAAAAGCTTTTATATACTATAAAAGGAGATGGCTTTTTTTCACATAAACTACATTTTATACTCAATCATTAATTTCATTGAACTTTATAATTATTATGCCTGAAAAAATTGAAATGACAACAAATGAACAAAGCAAAAAACCTACATATGTAGGTGCACTACCAGATATGCCGATGGAAGCTCTTCTTTCCCTCGGTCCACCAAATAATTGTGGCACTGCACCAACAATTCGACTTTTTCTTGCTAAATATCATGCATTTCCATGTACATTATATTGTGTTGCTGATGATACAAGTGCATTATTACATACAACAACAATTGTTGATTATATTCGTGATGAATTAAAACATGATTTACATACCGATCGTATATCTCGAAATTATAATCGACAAACCAAAGAACTCTATGTTGATTCACGTTTATTAGATTTAGGTAATGGTATTATGATTGAAATAAGTGAATGTTACTTTAGTTCTGATGTACAAAATCCAAATAAATTAAAACCAGATCACTCCGATGATTATTTTTTAATTGCATCACAAGTAAATCTTTATTATTTACCTGAACATGATACATATGTACAAGATTTAGCAAGACATTTTTCTAAAATGACTGTATTTTCATCAAAATCATGTACCTTACAAATGGTTTGTCGTAATCAACATGGTTATTATCTTAGTAGTATTAATATTAAAAAACCATTGATTACTGATCTTGCACTTCATTATAGTAAAACTTTTGTTCCAGTACATGAAAAAATTATTAAAAATTTAAATAAAAAAGAAGGAAAAGGTATTGTTCTTTTACATGGTGTTCCAGGTTCAGGTAAATAAAAATTTTGAAACAAAAAAAGACAATAAATAAACTTTCTTTTTTTTTCTCCTTTAATGTTAAATAGGAAAAACACATTATATTCGATATTTAATTCATGAAATTGAAGAAAAAACTTTAATTTATGTACCACCAGACATGGCAAAAGAAATATCTTCACCAGAATTTCTTCCATTTCTAATGCAATATCAAGATTCAATTCTTATTATTGAAGATGCTGAAAATATAATTAAAGATCGAAATGAATGTTTAATACCATCACAAGCTGTTGCTAATCTTCTTAATTTGTAAGTCATTATCGTTTAAAAATTAATTTAAAATTTAATCGTTTCTTTGTTTTGCTTTAAGATCTGATGGTTTATTAGGTGATGCTATGCATCAACAAATCATTGCAACATTTAATTGTGATTTAACAATAATTGATCCAGCTTTATTACGTAAAGGACGTTTAATTGCAAATTATGAATTTAATAAATTAAATATTGAAAGTTCAAAAATTCTTTCCGATAAATTAGGATTTGATGCAGAAAAAATAACTGTACCAATGACACTCGCTGAAATTTATAATCAAGGTGAAAATGATGAAACATCAATTGAAAATGGAAATGAACCAATTGTGAATGGACACCAATAAATAAGCAAATCATTATTAAAATTTTTTGTTGTTTTAATATAAATAAATAAATATATATATATGTTTTTATATATATATATATAAATAACAAAAAGGTTTTTTATTAGCCAGAAATCAATCTTTTTTTGCTCTCTGTCTTAGTTGACATACTTTCTATGCAAATCGTATTTTCTTTCTCTTAATGGCAGACTACTAGTTCGTCAGTGTGGATATAAGCAACCAAAATAAAAAAAAAAATATGCCGCAGTAATACAGATCAAAGAAGAACCGGAAAAAAGTGACGAGAATAATAAGGCATGCTTGTGTCTTGCGCTCTGGTGACATGCAGTAGGTAATACTAGCATGTGAAAAGCACAAAATAAAGCATTTAGTAGTGGATGTATAAGACATCGTGTGCGTTGTTAGTAATAGAAAAGAGAGAATAACAACCACAAAAACAACAACAACGATAGCACAAGGGGAAAAAAACCAACGGATTCTCGCTTCTTGGAGTTGTAGTGTAAGAAAGTGGAAGGAAGCTGATCTAGACGAACCATTTACAAATCATCTTCGTGTAGAACGGTTACGATACATATACATATATATCAAGGTCGAAACGCGTCCACTTGTATCACACAACAGCAAGCAAAAAAAAATAAAAGAACATAAGTCAATTTCAACAAAAGGTATATACTTGAAAATAACTATTGAATTAGGTTAAAGAAAAAGCAATTGCATGTCAATCAAGCAGACACATGCACGTAAAACATGTGTCAGTACGGTAAGGAGCCAGTCAAAAGTCTTGTTTCTTTTTTTTTAATGGTACAATTGGAAACTAAAACTAAAATCAAAATGTATTTTGACTTCTATGCTCTCTTTTTTTTTCTCCTGTTATATCATAATTAAACATTATGAAGATTCTTCTAGTAACAAAAACAATCACGAATGCTTATCTTTTAAGAATACTAAGATATCGTCTTGTTTATTTTTTTTTTTTTGTAATTTCAAAAAAAAAGAAGATAACCATATTATCAAATTGATCATAAAAAGCGATCAATAATTTACCTACTCTAAGGTAGAATGTTTTTTTTTGTATGTGCACGGTCAGGTCATCGTTTCTTTTGACGCATTGAATCTAAACCTTGTATTAATTTGTACATATGCCTGTAAAATCATTTTATCAATGAACTTGATCGGACAGTACTGTGCGCATTTCTATGACCATGAATTGTGTTTTTTTTCTTTTCTTTTTTTTTTTTATTGAGTTACTCCCTATTTCATTCATTCAAGGTTAAGGTTACGTACAATCTTCATTTTTTTTCTCTTATGTTATCTATATCTATCTATCTCTCTATATATAAAGACAAATCGTTGTCGTTAACGTTTTCATAATTTAGTACCAATTGGAATATATAAAGCAATAAGAATGCCGTCATATACGATGCTCAATGTTAAAATGCAACGAGAGTCCAATAGTACACCATGGGGATTTCGAATGCAAGGTAGAAATGTCGTTCACTTGATTTTATTAAATTAAAAATAAAAATTATATTAAATATTTCAATTTAAATAGGTGGAAAAGATTTTGGTTGTCCATTACAAATTCAAAAAGTCAATCCAAATAGTTTAGCTGAACGTTGTGGCATGCAACCTAATGATTATATTATTAAAATTGGACAAACATCAACTGAACATCTTAAACATCCAGATGCTCAAGAATTAATAAAACAACAAAATAATATGCTTGAATTAACATTACAACGGTTAGTTGAGGAGAGAAGAAAAAAAAACACTTCATGTTCATTTTTAATTTAATATATAGAGGTGCACCACCTGATGCTAATGATTATAACAGTCGTGTAAATTTTCCACCTCATCAATTGATGCAATCTACACAAGATAATTTTTCACCTCAATCTCAATATGAATCACCACCACCACAATCTCCTGTCCCACAGGTATTTATAAGAAGAATAAGCACACTTTATAAATATTTGAAGTTATACACTGACCATACAGAACAAGATCCCAAAAGACCTTGAATGGGCAATATAACTAAAGGAGAGATCTATCCAACAATTGATAGAAAAAAGAGCACAGTACATCAAAGGATTATATCTGTTCTATTATTGCAGACAAGAAGTCTGTTAGAGATAATAAATACGTGATATGTTATATTTAATACCTTATTTTCACTTAGGTTTTTTTGTTGCTTATCAAAACTGACGAAGAGATTTAATTTTATTTGTTGGTCAATCTATGTCTTTCATCGAAATCTAGACGACGAATCACTTATAATCTTGTGTTATAAAACCACTATAAAATCGTATCTTACAAAAAAAGTAGGACAATAAAATAAATCATTGACATGTTCACTAAATTACTAAATCTCTTCAAATAGATGTCATAAAGTTTTATGTTAAGTTAATAAAATATTTCATAACAGCTAATATGAAGTTTCATCAGTGTTTTATTTAAATTTTCTCTTCTGCCAGAATGAACATCTATTTTTTGAGAGCACAGACACATAGTACGTGGTACACAATAACTACAAACTCTGGGAAGGTCAACTCAGTTTTTGGAGGAGCGCCACTCTTCGCACTAGAATCCTTCGAATCCAAAATTTTCGGATCCAGATCCGATTAGCAGAAAAAATTCATATCCGTACTTGATCAACACGATAGGCTCTACTTTCATTCCTCACACTAGATAAATCACTGATTTTCATTAATTTATTTTCAATAATAGGTTGCTATGCCAGTATCAAACAATCGGGCTATTTTAAGTCAAGCACATAATACACCAATTGGTCTCTATTCAGCTGATAATGTAACTGAAACAATAACACGTACTCTTAAAAGGTAATGTCTAGAAAATCTAGA